CATCTTCATACGACACCAGTTAAATGATGGGAAGAGAACTGCGTTCCCAGAAGACCAAACATCATTGGCCTGAATTAAGTCATGTCCTACTCCCTGAAACAACAACAGTTCACTGCAAATGGAATTTTTCTTCTGATGAGCCGAGGCCTGAGCAATGGTCCCTGCGTTAGCCAGGAGTGGAGCTGGCTTTCCTTAGAGCCTCTGGACTGCCTGGTGGAAATATGGCTATTGGGTCAAAGTTGTGGTGGTCACCAGGAATAAGGAAATGGATAACGTTGGCAGGAGATGGACAACCACAATGTCTTCTAATAAGGCAAAAACTTTAGCAAGATTTGATATCTAATATCAAATAAATAAACCAAGCAAGGAGGCAAAACTTAATTTAAAGTGTAAATGAAAAGTAATTGATCTTAGTGAAAAATATTCCATTTAAAAAATGAAAATAGATAAAAATGGATACCTTTCAAGTGTGTGTCATAGAAAGATGATGAAAGAATTAAATTGACTTAGTGGTATTTGTTCCAGAGAACACATTCCTGATAAAAATGAATCAATGTTGCCTTAACCAGGTGGCTCAGATGGCTAGAACGTTGACCTGCAGCACCAAGGCTGCAAGTTTGATCCCCCGGCAGCGCACATACAGGAAGCAACCAATGAATGCATGGATGAGCAGAACAACAAAATCAATGTCTCTTCTTCTCTCTCCCTCTCTCTCAAATCAATCAATAAATTTTTAAAAAATGAATCAATGTTGGTGGAATTCATTTGAAATGCTTGTACTGAAATCCTCCTTGAGGACAAAATGGCAGTGACAGAAATGTTGTCCATCCTCCTACACTGACTCCTAGAGGCCACTGCCCCTTTGAGGCTCCCACCAGCCATCCCAATAATCTGTTTGGGTTCTGGGTCTCACAATAAACACAATGACTTGTGGCATGTGGAACTGAATTTCCTCACTGTTTTAAAACTTGTAATAAGTACCTGCCTCCAGAGGCCTGTTCTTTACACAGTGCCTCATGGGTGATTCATCTGCAAGTCTCCTCACATTCTGGAAAATAACTTTTTCTGGTCAGATTCCTGGAATTCATACAAAGACCCTGCGATTGCCTCTTGTAATATTTTCTCCCACGTTGGGTTAACTTTTCCTCTGGGCGTTTCTGTTCTAAGAATGTTCCCTTTGACAGGAAAAACAGAAGCAAGATACAAATTGAAGAGTTCTGCTTTCTCTTTGTCCCCACCAGCATGACAACACTGACCACAAAAATTGTATCCCTTTTTTGCTTTGAGTGTGACTTTATGAAGGTCCTTACAGGCCTCAATTCACAGGGGGCTTTCACTTTCTCAAAAGTCCATGGACATCATTCCATCTTCTTATGGTCACCAGTGATTGTGTGCCCTCGGTCCATCTTAGGCTGACTTTCTCTTATTTTCAAATAAACAAACATTTATGTAACTGTATGATTTTTAAGTCCTTCCTCTTTTGCATTGACTTAAGATTTCATAGGTAAAGCAAATGTTCTTAAGAGTTATTCAATTCTTGAGTATTTTTCTAAAATCTCAAGCCACGGTATTAATATTATTTTAATTGTTAAAATCTAGGGAATACATCTAACCGTGTTCTACCATTGTCCTCACTATCACAAACTTCAAGAAGACACAGCTGCTTTCTCCCAAGGTTCTTGCCACTTCTACTCTGCCAACCAATTTCTCCTTTTGGCCAAATTTAGGTTCAGAGCAGCAGTTCCTCTTACTACTTCCTCTACTTTCTGGAAGATAAAATTGTCAGCAAGCAGTACTAATAGCTAAAGTTTACTGAGTTCTTGTATGCAAGGCACCCTTCCTCTGAGGAAGCTGAGGCCCAGAGGAGCTAAGTATCTTGCTCAAGTTAGTCCATCTGGAAAGTTGGGAAGCATGAGCATCAAAGTCAGAGTCTGAGTCCAGATCCAAGTTCTGTCTGTAGTTAAAAGGGCTTCTCATGCAGACGGCAGTTACCGGAGGGGAAGAAGGGCAGGGGGTGGATGAAGAGGGAAAAAGGGGTCAAATACACGGTGACAGAAGGAGGTTGGGCTTTAGTGGTGAACACACAATAGAGTATACAGCTGTAGTATTATAAGGCTGTACACCTGAACTTTATATAATGTTATTAACCAATGTTATCCCAATAAATAAATTTATTTGTTTATTTACATAATAATTAATTAATTATTACAAAGAGCTTGTTGCACAGTTTGGTTTGGGCCAGATAGACTTCCAGCAGGCCTAAGGATGTCAAGATCTTCCAGCAGCATCTCCAGCCTCTGGCCTGCTTTTGGGATGTGGGGTGGCTTGTGGTGTATTTCCTGCATCTGACTGTGGGAGCTGTGGTAATCCCACTGTGACATCTTTTCTGGATTTCTCCCCTCCTTCCACCCTCAGCTTTCCAGCCTCATGACCTATAACCTAATACCCTCTCCATCCCTAAGAGGGTTTCCGTGGTTACCTCCCAGGATGTCTTCATCCCCTCCCCTGACAAGTCACATAAAGAAGCTTTTCTTTAACACCTTTGCTTCCTCCTGCTGGTGAACCATCTTGCACACACTATGTATGTGGCTGGCAGACAGATAATGGTGGCACACTCTCGGGGCCACTTGAGGTTAGTGATGGGTTCCCAGGTAGAATGGTTATTCCTTGTGGATCCTCCCATAAACAGTCCTGCTCTTGCTCTCTTCTTTCCCCTAAAGTTAGATAAGTTTTGGGAATGCCACTTTTTTCAAGTTGTGTTGTTTTTGTTAAATTGCTGCCCAAGCCTCCCTTCCTTTCCATAGTCATTAAGAGTTACATCATCATCAAAAAGCCCAATCATCGAAATAAAAGCAGCTAATACTTATTGAGCTCTTACTATGCCCTGTTTAAGGGCTTACACTATTAACTTACTTAATTTTCTCAGAATAATTCTATGAAGTACCATATTTTTGGACTATAAGATGCACTCTTTTTTACCACATTTTTTGCTTCAAAATTCTTTTCCCTATTTTCCTTCTCTAAAATCTAGGTGTGTCTTATGGTGCAGACCCCAGACACACCTAGGTTTTAGAGGAGGAAAATAGGAAAAAATTTTGAAGCAAAAATGTGGTAAAAACGTGCGTCTTATAGTCCGAAAATACGGTAGGTACTATTATAATCAACATTTTGCAGATGAGGAAACTGAAGCACAGAGAAGCCACAAAACTACTGAACAGCTCATTTCTGCTGATAATCATCCAGTTTGCTCCTGAATGAGAACAAAGCCTATATGCATCTGTATCTTTTACAAACTCTCTATATTTTCAAATAATCCACATGACTGAAGGAATCCTAAGACTGAAAGAATTATCATTTCACTAAAATGATTTTAAATTCAGTATTACCACATTTAACTATAAACCACTATAAACTTAGAAAGTATTGTTTTCTTGTCAATAATTCCAATTATAATATTTACTTTAATTACATAGAATTATGATTTCAGAATAGCATAAATAGTCATTATAATTCAAACTGCAAGTATTTCCATCACATAATCATAAGTGAATTCCCTCAATTCTTATTTTTAAGTTTGGTCAACTGAGATTATCTCACTTGTAAAAACTTTTTGATTATTAATGTTGCCACTAATATTTTTGGCTAACATTTTAATTCTTCCTATATTATTACCAAGTTTTTTTGGTTATTATTTAATTCGTTTCAAGGGATCTTTCAAGTGTTTCCTATTCCCACAAAGAAACATTTCAGAATATCAGACACTACTTTCAGAATCTCAGAAAGAATTCTCACCCTGTCATTTGTCACTCTGTTTTCTCTAGGGTAGTAGACTGTTAAGTTTTGACTTGTGCCCATTGAATTGCGGTCCTGGTTTCCCTGGGAGTCCAGCAGCTTTGCTCATAGCTGCAGGTGGTTTTATAACACTTCTTGCAATCATTACTTTCTGCTAATTCCAAAAACCACCTTATTTTACCTTTCCAAATCCCAATAGCTCCTTTCTTTCCCTGCCTCTTCTTCTCCCATCATCCTTTCAACTCCAAGGGGTATTTTGTTTGTTTTGTTTTGTTTTTTTCTTTTTTTGTATTTTTCTTTTTCCTATTTGGAGAATGAGTCAGGGTTATTAACTGCAAGCATAGCAACTGATTCTGGCTCACTTGAGCAGGAAAGGAAAGAAATTCTTGGAAGGATAGTAGGTAGATGACAACATGAAGGCTGGAGATACTGGTGAATGAATGGGCAGAAACATGGGGAGGTGGACAGCTGTAACCACAGCCATGGTCACATCATGGCTGGTTCCAAGGCTGTGTCACTGTGGCTGCCGAGCACTGTCCCTGGCACTGCTGCCACCACCGCCCCAGACATCAGAGGCTGCCGCCGCCACTTCAGGAGCAGTCAGCTTCTTTGCATCATTTGCTGCAGACCCATGATTCTTTGCATAGATCCAGGTGATTCAGGCTGGATCATGTAATCATGTCCCAATTTCCAAGGAGACGGCTATTTCCTACCAAGATGATGCAAGGGAAGACCCCTCTAAACAATAAGAGGGTTTGTGTGCTGAGCGCCCTTCAAAAACAACCAAGGAAATATTGACTATCATAGACCCGAGCCCTAGGCACGTAATCCTCTTTTTCCCAAACAGAGGAAGGGACCAATCTCTGTTTTAAATGTCATGAGTGCCTTTTTCTTTTTCATAAGTAATACCAGCTGCCTGAAGTTTTCTAATACATCATAATATATAATTAATGTACAATAAATAATTTATATATTTAAATTATGTTTATGTTTACTATATTCATATTTACTATTTTATATTATTATATTACAATAATATGTTGTATGGTAATGTGATAACTGAACATAGTTTAATTTATATTAATGATTTCCTTAGTAACCATTTCCAACATAGAATTAAGGATAATTATATTTTAAATAAGAAATCTGTAACTTCAAAATATTTTATTTTTATTTTTATTTATTGATTTTAGGAAGAGAGAGGAAGGGAGAGAGAGAGATGTCGATTTGTTATTCCACTTCTTTATGCATTCATTGGTTGATTCTTGTATGTGCCCTCATCAGGGATCAAACTCGCAATCTTGGCGTATCAGGATGATGCTCTAACCAACTGAGCTATGTGGCCAGGGCCTCAAAATCTTCAAAACACTAAAAAATAAAAAACCATTCAAACATGTGTTAAAGGGGGAGTTCAACAGCAGTGGAAAATTTTTACTTTGAAAAGCTATATATATATATACATATACAGAGAGAGAGAGAGAGAGAGAGAGAGAGAGAACACTTAACAGCTACAAAGAGAAACCACCAATTCAATGGTAAAAATGCTATGTCATTCTGGCACTTAGTATAATGTTTTCAAGCATTAAGACCTTGGTAGTTATTCTAATATTCCATCTGCTCTAGATTGCAGTAGTTAGGAAATGAGATGTTTTACATAAATGTATTTTCCAGAGAGTATCAATTTAAGCAATAACTTTTTCATTCTGACTTTTAAAATATACTTAAACAAATTATATACTTCCTTTTCTTATATAAGAAACTGAGCTAAAGATTTTGTTCTTTTTTCCCCCTAATTTTATTTTTACATAGAAACTTTGTTGAGCTATAACTCAATTATAGAACACATACTAAGTGTATAATTCAATGTCTTTTTAAAAGCATATTCACAGACTTGTACAACCATCACCATAACCAATTTTAGAACATTTTCATTACTTCAAAAGGAAACTCCATACCCTTTACCAGTCTTTCCCCAGCTTCCCCCAAACCTAGACCTAGGTAACCACTAATCTTTTTGTTTCTACTGACTTGTCTCTTCTAGATTCTTTATATAAATAGAATCATATAATACATGGTCTATTGTCATTGACTTCTTTCACTTAAAATGTTTTCAAGGTTTCATTGTGTTGTAGTATGTATCAGTACTTCATTTTTTAAAACTTATTTATTTATATGTAGAGAGAAGGGAAGGGAGGGAGAAAGAGAGAGAGAGAAACATAGATGTGTGAGAGATATCTCTATAGGTTGCCTCTCTTGCACCCCCAACTGGGGACTTGACCTGAAACCCAAGCATGTGCCCTAACTGGTAATCAAACTGGTGACCTTTTGGTTCACAGGTTGGCACTCAATCCACTGAGCCACACCAGCCAGGACAGTACTCCATTTTTTAAAATATATATTTTATTGATTACGCTATTACAGTTGTCCCATTTCCACCCCTTCACTCCCCTCCACCCTGTACACCTTCTCCCACCCACATTTCCCCCCTTTAGTTCATGTCCATGTGTCATACTCATCAGTTCTTTAGCTTCTACATTTCCCATACTATTCTTGCCTCCCCCTGTCTATTTTCTACCTACCATCTATGCTACTTATTCTCTGTACCTCTTCCCCCTCTCTCCTCCTCCCACTCCCCTGTTGCTAACCCTCCATGTGATCTCCATTTCTGTGGTTCTTTTCCTGGTCTAGTTGTTTGCTTAGTTTGTTTTTGTTTTTGTTTTAGGTGTGGTTGTTAATAATTGTGAGTTCGCTGTCATTTTACTATACATGTTTTTTATCTTCTTTTTCTTAGATAAGTCCCTTTAACATTTCATATAATAAGGGCTTGGTAATGATGAACTCCTTTCACTTGACCTTATCTGAGAAGCACTTTATCTGTCCTTCCATTCTAAATGAAAGCTTTGCTGGATAGAGTAAACTTGGATGTAGGTCCTTGGCTTTCATGACTTGGAATACTTCTTTCCAGCCCCTTATTGCCTGTAAGGTCTCTTTTGCGAAATCAGCTGACAGTCTGATGGGAACTCCTTTGTAGGTAGTAGGTAACTGCCTCCTTATCTCTTGCTGCTTCTAGGATTCTCTCCTTCATTTTTACCTTGGCTAATGTAATTATGATGTGCCTTGGTGTGTTCCTCCTTGGGTCCAACTTCTTTGGGGCCCTCTGAGCTTCCTGGACCTTCCTGGAAGTCTATTTCCTTAGCCAGCTTGGGGAATTTCTCCTTTATTATTTGTTCAAATAACTTTTCCACTTGTTGCTCTTCCTCTTCCCCTTCTGGTACCCCTATAATTTGGATGTTGGAACGTTTAAAGATGTCCTGGAGGTTCCTAAGCCTCTACTCATTTTTTTGAATTCTTGTTTCTTCATTCTTTTCTGTTTGGTTGTTTCTTTCTTCCTTCTGGTCTACTCCATTGATTTGAGTCCCAGTGTTCTTCCCATCACTATTGGTATTGGTTCCCTGTACATTTTCCTTTATTTCACTTAGCATAGCCTTCATTTTTCATCTAATTTGCGACCAAATTCAACCAATTCTGTGAGCAATCTGATCACCAGTGCTTTGAACTATGTATCTGATAGGTTGGCTACCTCATGATTGCTTAGTTGTATTTTTTTCTGGAGCTTTGATCTGTTCTTTTGTTTGGGCCATTTTTTTTTTTTGTCTTGACACACCTGCTATGTAGTGAGGGGCAGAGTCTTAGGTGTTCACCAGGGCGGGGTAACCCCCAACTCTGGGTTGTGATGCTGTATGTAGGGGAGGGGTCCGAGAGGGAACAATGGCGCTTGCTCCGCTCTCTGCCAGATTTCAGTCACTTCTGCCACTTCCCCCAAGCAAACTGGGCCCTTCTGGCGCTGATTCCCATGTGGGTGGGTTTGTGTATGTTCTAGGACCCTGTGGGTCTCTCAAGCGAACTCTCCTGCGAGACTGGGAATCTCTCCCTGCACGTCAACCCCCCACAGGTGTTTTCAGTTGTTGTTTTGAGGCTTTATTTCCCCGCGCTGGGGCCCTGGATTGCAAGGTCTGTCTTGCCCCCCAGTTTCGCCTGGTTTGTCTGCATGTGAATGTGGGACTGCCCGGTTTTGCAAGCCACTTTGTGTGCCCAGCCCCTCCACAATCCGCTGCCTTGCTGGGCCCCGCCCGCTGCCACCTTGCGAGCCTGGGGTCCGCCAGCCACCACTTTGCCATGACCCATCTCTGCCCGACTCTGCCCCTCCTATTGGTCTGGATGAATATGTCTACTTTCACTCTTTGGGCACTGGACTTCCACACAGTTCAATTTTCTGTCAGTACTGGTTATTATTTTGTTTCTAAATTGTTGTCCTTATTTTAGTAGTGCGAGGAGGCACAGTGTGTCTACCTACACCTCCATCTTGGCCGGAAGTCCAGTACTTCATTATTTTTATGGCTGAAGAATAGCCCATTGTATATGTTTTGTTTATCCATTCATTCCTAAATGGACATTTGAATTGTTTACACTTTTTGGCTATCATGAATAATGCTGCTATGAACATTCATGTACAGGTTTTGGTATGAACATATATTTTTTATTTCTTTGGGGTACCTAGGAATTGAATGTCTGGGTTGTATGATACCACTATGTTTAACCTTTTGAGAAACTGCCAAACTGTTTTCCAAAGTTTCTGCAACATTCGAAATTCCTACAATGGTGTATTAGTACTCATTGTTTTTTCTTTTTGTTTAATTGTATCTGTCTGTGAGTATGAAATAGTATCTCACTGTGGTTTTGATTTGCATTTCCCTGTTGACAAATTATGTTGAGCATCTTTCCATGTGCTTATTGTCCACTCGTATATCTTCTGGAGAAGTATGTATTCACATCCTTTGCCTATTTTTTTATCGGACTATTTGTCTTTTTATTATTGAGTTGTAGAAATTCTCTATAGAAGTTAGTCAGTTCTTGATGACTGAGAGCCTTCTTATGATCATCAATGACTGAGGTTCACTATACTACAGTGGAAAGCTTATGTGTCCTAGATCCCATGCTGGGCTGTCAGCTCTAAATGAAAAGGCAACCCAATGCTGTTGGGAAGAACTAAAAAAAAAAAAAAACCCCCAGTTACATGACCCTGTCCTCATACATTTATATCTATAATTTTTTCTTAGTTTCTCTGCTATCACCCCTTGTTTTCACAGCTCTAAGTATTTATCATTACTCTAGGAAGAGGTGGAAGGTAACTCAGCTTATCCCACAAATGACGTGCTTGGGCATTGAGACAGCTTTATTTTTTCTGTTTTCTTTTCTTTTCTTTTCTTTTCTTTTCTTTTCTTTTGAGACAGCTTTCTTGTGTGTCTTGGGTAATTACAGTTGCCAGGAATCTGATTTCTGATAGAATTTAGATGGCATTTTACATAACTAGAGATAATAAGTTGAATAGGATGTGATTAATTGGGGTGGCTTTGGGAAGTGACTTTTCAGGGAAATCCTCCAGTAGATAGTGTCAGTAACCTGGGAGAGAGGAGGAGATTCCCATAGGTGAGAATCTGGAAGATGTGCATGGAAAATGCATTGTTGGTTCGACTGATCTGGTAACTGTGGCTAGAAGCAATGAACAAAAAGAATCTCCTACAAAGTAGTAAAAGGTCTAAATTCAGCTTTTGAACTTACTGCTAGGCTGCTAATAATTGGTCCTGATAGGTCAATCTTCTTCTGGTTTCCTGATGTGAGAGAAAAAAAAACAAACCAAGATCACTCCTCCTTGTTTCCTGCCTTACCAGCCTCCCCCTTCTAACGACCCCACCCTGCCCTGGGCTTGTGGCTAAACTGCCCAACTGCCAACTAAAACCCACAATTCCCAGCATGCCTTGCACACCCAGAAGCCCCAGTCCCCACCATTCATTCTGCTCCCCACCTGAAAGTGGCTCCAGCAAATCACCTTCAAGATACAGGGCACCCACTGCAGGGCCTCTCTCTCTCTGGAGGCCTCTCGCCTCTACCTCCTTTGACTGTGGCTGAACCTGCTACCACTTGACAGCAAACCACATTTGACAGGAACAGGAAGGGTGACGGGGCCCACTGCCCCAGGCCTCTACTAAATCAACAAGGTAGTGCTCACTTTCCTCCCACAGCAAGGACTCCTCTTTCCTCCTCTGGTGGCCTTATCCCTGACTTACAGATCTTCTGGGGGTAGGTGAATATGAAATGAACATAGGAGTTTTTGATCTGTGCTTTGTGACAGTTTGCACCTTGCCCCACTGCCAAGACCTCTCTGGTCTCAGTCACCAACACTTCCTCCTCTTCCCCGGACACTCCCTCACTTCTAAGGAAATGCTCCTTGTCCTACAGCTGACCTCCAGGCCTGCACCCTTCCATGAGGAGGAATCCCACCACACTGTTTTGCTCCTTTCACTTCCCTGAGCAGCCAGAACTTTGCCTCATGGCTGTGCCTTTCTGATACCATTCTAGAGTGTCACAGCTGTTGGGAGGCACTGCTGTGAGAGAAGCCAGCTTCAAAAGGGTTTTTTTTTTTTTTTGAGGGGGTGAGTGTGGCACAAACTCATTTGGTTACAAAACATGACCTGAACTGACAAAAGCCTCTTTTGTCCACTTTTTCTTTTGTTCACTTAATGTGAATATTCATGTTTGTTGCCAAAATATTTGTGTTGATTTTGGAGTGTTGGTTCTAGACTTTGTTGGAGGAATTATGTAATATATGGTATATGTAAATCATGAAAAATTGTGATTTTTGAGACACTTTTGCACCCAAATTATAGGGTAAGGTTTTTTGGACCTGTTCTATAATGCCACACAAAACAGGGCATGATAATTAACTATTAGACATCCAAGTGACAGAATAATATGAAACTAATCAAAATCATGTCCATGAAAATTTAAGGACCTAGAAAAACGATTCCAATTATTGTTATAAACTATCTGTGTAAACTTACAAAAGAGCATATGGAATCTGACCTCAACTTTATTTAAAAATATTACATATGCATTCAAAAAGCTTGGAATGCAATATACCGTAAAGTTAACAGTGAGTTGTTTCTGTACTGTGGGTCTGTGGTTGATTTTCTTCTTTCAAGCCCTTTCAGTATCTATGTAATACTTTTTTTAAAGATTTTATTTATTTATTTTTAGAAGGAGAGGGAGGGAGGGAGATAGGGAGAGAGAGAGAAACATCGACGTGTGAGAGAAACTTCAATTGGTTGCCTCTTGAACACCCCCAACAGGGGACCTGGCCCACGACCCAGGCATGTGCCCTGACTGGGAATCAGACCGGCACTCTTTTGGTTCTCAGGCCAGTGCTCAATCCACTGAGCCACACCAGCCAGGGCTATGTAATTCTTTTGTAATGAGAAGAAAAAATTTTTAAACCCATAGTTGTCGTTACTAAAAATAAGTTGGTATTGACCCTTTCTAATGTATGGCCTTGGGCAAAACATATAATCAATATGAGCCCAATTTTCTCTTCTGGAAATTGAGTATGTACCTGGACTTTCTCCTCTAGCAGGCCTGGGCTGCCCACTGTCTTATACAGCAGTGCAGACCAAGAGTTTCCCACACATTGCCTGCTATTTCACAAGTGGGTCCTTGTAAACAAGGATGACCAATAACCCTTTTTGGTCTGTCTTTCCCTCCCCCATCACATTGCCTTGGCTTCCACCACACACAGAGACTTTGCCACTTTGTCAAGGCTAACCCCACTTAAGCACTTGATTCCATTTCTACTCATCTCTCTCTGACCTGTTCTGCCAAGGAAAATGGATATATTTATATGGCACTTCACATTTTACAAAAGATACTCACATATTGATCCTTCCCTTCATGACCTTGTCTCTCGAAACTGCAGCTGTCTCTCCCTATGTTTATTTCTATACCCCTGGTCACTAATTAACGAACACCTGGCAACCTGTCTATTCTAGACACTGACATATATCGGCAAATAAACAAATTTCCTTCCCTCAAGTGCACACAGTCTAGTCGGGGAGGCAGACAAGTAGCAAGTAAGTATATAATAATATATCAAGCAGTGACATGAATAAAAAACATTGTGAAGAAAAAGAAAGTAATGGGGGTGTGCACTATTTTAGATGGTGCAGTCAGGGGAGGCTTCTTTGAGGAGGTGACAATTGAGCAGACGCCTAAAGCAAGTTAGGGAGTGAATTGTTTAGATATCTGGGGGACAGGGGAGCATTCTTGACCTAGAAAAGAACAAATGACAAAAGCTCTGAGACAAAAGTCAACTTGGCTTAAATGAGGAGTTGCTGCTTAAATGAGGATGTCATGCTTTGGGTGGAGTGAGGAGGAAAGTGGTAGGCATGAAATCGGAGGGAGCAGATCATGCAGAGCCTTGAGACCATGGTAAGGATTTGTGTTTATATTTGTCAATTATGAAAAAGGGGTTCTTAATGGCCAACCATTTTTTTCTGAGTTCTTAACCTCTCCAATTGCTCTAGAGCAAGTGACAGATTCTCACTTCATTTAAGAATCCTTTGCTGGGCCCTGACTAGTGTGGCTCAGTGGATTGAGTGCTGGCCTGTGAACCAAAGGGTCACTGGTTTGATTCTCAGTCAGGGCACATACCTGGATTGTGGGCTAGGTCCCCAGTGGGGGGTGCACAAGAGGCAACCACATATTGATGTTTCTCTCTCTTTCTCTCTCCCTTTCCCTCTCTCTATAAATAAAATCTTAAAAAGAAAAAAAGAATAGAAAAGAAAGAAAGAAAGAAATCTTTGCTGGGCACCCTCTAGGTGCTAGATTAGGTATTGCTGAGAACACATGCAAATGTGAACAAATCACACTGCTTCCCAGCCAAGACTCACTGCCCTAGAGGAAAGGCAGAACTATCACCTATGAACAATGTTACACCTTTGGGCAACACTGGACAAAACCATAAACAAAGTCCCAGTGGGACACAAAGAGATGCCATCATCTCTTCTATAGTCTCTCCTCCTTGATGTGTCTTTATCACAAGTCATCATCTTATTAATCTCTTCTTCAGTCTTCAACCCCATACCCGGTCCCACCTCATGAAGATCCAGTTCAGATGCCACCTCTTCCAGAGAGCTTTCCTTGAAATCTCCCATCCGTTGTGCTCTCTTTTTCTCAAGACTTTCCCATCCCCTTGTTCCTGTTTTCCCACTATTCCTTTCCATTTTTCCCTGAACTGAATGATGGTTAGTTATATGTGTCCCTTCCCCTGGATGTCCCACTGCCAGTCACGCCCTGGTACTGACTGGATACTTCTATAAGCATCTTGTTATCTTTGTACAACACAAAGTTGTTGACCATATGTTGATTACTATCAGTGTTTTACAGGAAAGGAAGAGGCATTGCCCCCACACAGTCAGTCACTGGAACTAGTGCCTGAGGGAGGCCATGGGCTCCTCCTGGAAGAGCTTTGTGAACTGCCTGGGCAACAGGATTTGAGACCCAGTTCTCTCCTGCCAATGGTTAGAGAAGAGGACTAAAGGGCAGGAAGGACCTTTAGACAAGCCACCCTCACTTGCCCTCAGTCTTTGCATTCACCCCTGAGCTTTTCTACAACTGGCATCATGAGGGGTTGAGTAGTGCCAGTGTGGGTGGTGGCCTCTCCTCTTTCGGTTTTTTGATTTTTGGTTCTTAAAAACTACATCCCAAATGAGGGAAATGAAACTACTAAAGACTCTCCCCCAGCAACCAGCTGACGTGGGGCAAGAGAATGATTCCCAGTTAAAGCCCCAAAGGAAATCCCCTCCCTGTTATGTGCTGAGGCTGGAGAAGTGGGGGAGTCACTAGTTCACTGCTTGGCTAGGCCCAGCCACCAAGGTGAAGGGCCAGATGAAAGGACTGCCCTGTCTGTGGCCAGGGGCGGAGAACCCAAGGCAGAGCAGGGAACACCGTAGCTGAGAGCGGGAGGGCCAGCATCTTAGACCTAGAGCACACTGCTCGTTCCAGAGGTAGACCCGCCACCGCATTGTTAGTGTGGAAGTAAAAGATGCTACATACTAAACCTGACGAGCTCAGGGGTGGCCATGCAGGTGGACTTTACAAACTCATAGGAAGGCCTGAACATAAAAATTCCTAACCAAAGTGAGTCATGGCAGGTAGTCACATCCTAGACCTTTAGCTTCCTTGACAAAGGTCAGTCTTTACCTTAAGTAAGCCTGTCTGTTGTCTTTTTGCATCTAAGAATACATGCCTGTGGGATGTCAGAGTAATCCCCTTTTTCAAGCCCCTCAGAGGGCAACCTTACAACAGAGCATGAGATCACAGAACCCCTCATTGTTATCTTGTTCCCCACATATGATCTCTATTGTGCTGTAAATATTGTTAACTATCCTCAACCCACCAGTGTAAAAGCAGTGTGTGTCTCTTCGTTTTACTCTTTATCCACTCTCAGATTTCCCCAATTTCCTTTATACCATCCCCTTAATCTACCAGCAATGGATTTTATGTAACCCTCTTTTTGCCTCCCCTTTTGATTCTCATGTATAAAATAAGCTGTAAAACTCTTATTCTCCATAGCATTTTCTCAATCCACTGAGATTTTGCTTCCTAGTAGTTGTTGTCAGTTTGGCTCAAATAAACTCATAAAAAATCTCTGCATCAACATGCCTTACATTGACTCCGGGTACAATGAACTGTCCTCTCACAGACCCAGCTAGAGGAAATAAACTGGCCCTCGTTTGTCTCTTTGCAAACTTGGCCTACTTTGCCCTCACCCCACCCCACCCCCACTCCAAATGTCTCCCTTCACGGTCTCTGCTGCAGACCTCCCCACCCCTCAGTCCTGAATAGTGTTCCATTTTTTTGCAAGCCTGAGACCTCCTACCAGTGACAAACTACTATAGAGTTTAGTTTAGGGGGGAAAAAAGCTCAGAGGGGACTGGGCAGTATACGTTTTGTAATAACACACGACCCCTTCCCTCAAGATGTTTTTAGTGTAATTGAAGAAACATGACAAAAATCCTAAAAGTTAAATCACAATACAAGAGAAGTCATGAAGCCAGTGGATATTGTGGACCTTTGGTACCATGTGTTCAGAGGAAGGGGTTGAGGCTTTGTGAGGGCAAGGGAGCCCAAGCCATGCCTTCAGGGCGAGGAGGGTTGCGGTAGGCAAAAAGAGGCCATTCCAAGCAAGGGATCCTTCTGACAGAGGAAGTACAGAGTGGGGAGCATTTGTTCTCTGTTTAGGGAAATTGTGAGCAGATAGGACTAGATGGACTAGATGGACCACAGTGGACTGCAATGCAAAGAGGCTGGAGGCAAGGTCTGGCTGAGTCTTTGTCCTCTAGCTGGGAACTGCCCCCTGCTCCTTGCATTTGCCTCAGATCTCCTCAGAGATTCTGATGTGCTGCTGCTTGACACTAAACTTGGCTTGAGCAGGGGATGGGTACAAATTTCCCAATCCATGGAGCAAGTTCAAAGAAAGAGGCACACTGTCCCCCAGACTCTCACCATCCCGTGAAGGGATGCACCATGGGTTATGTTTTAGAGGAAGTGCCCGGATCCCTTTTGCCTTGTGCTGCATGGTTAGAAGAACCACAGCCCCCAACCAAGTTGGAAAAATCCTGAACTGTGTGGTCAGGGTTACAGCCTTGCTGGCATGAAAAGTCTTCTGTTTTCAGTTGTAAATCAACATTGGTTTTGGCTGTAAGTCTTAGGTCCCCCTTGTTGAGCCAGCTTACTGATAGCAGCTGAGCTGTTGGTGTTGTGAGCCAACAAACTCGCTTGGCCCCACACATCCATCAAGACCACTGGTTTTCTAAGGTTTTTTTTTTTCTTAAAGGGTAACAGCTGCCTTTCTCAAAAGAAATTCTATAGAGAACCTCAATGTACAAAAACATATAAAAGTGGAATCGCTTGGGATAAGGAGGGGATAGAGCAGACAATTTGCTGGATGTTTGGAGCAGGAAGGACTTGCTCCTATTCTTTTAGGATGGACATGCCAAGGATAACAAGGCAATACAGAATCACAAATCAACAGGGAACAAGAGATGCGAACCAACCCTCCAGGACACATTGAATCCCCAGATCTGATGGAAGAGAGCAGAACTGCAGGTCCCTTCTCTGGCTCCGCTAGCACTGTGTCCACATGACCCATTCAGCATGCAGCCGACTCTGTCCGCATCGTACCTCCTCCACCAGATGGTAAGCTCCTTGAGAGCAGGAGTTAAGAAATAATGCATATAAAGCTTTTAGCATAGTGTCTGGTACCCTTCTGACGGTGGCTATTATTAATTTGATCATTATTTTTTAAATTTTTGGCAAGAGGTAGCCGGGGATTTTGTATACATCAGGTACAAAAATTTATCCAAGCGGTTTATGACCAATAAGTTTATGGCATGCTGACAGTCCACTACAAAGCAATTTCCATTTCTATTCTTTTCTTGATGTGCTGGACACATAAAAGGAAATTATTAATAAAGACTAGCTGACTCAATGGCTCTGTCAAAAGATGGACTTTCTCCTGGGTGGAAAACTTTTCTTACCCATTTCCAAAGTCTGCCCCAGATTGATCCTTGGACATAACCTTGGAGAAGAGTTTTTTGGGTCAGCAGAGCCCACAGGCAGGGCCCTCCCAGCTCACCACCCCTCTAAATCTCCAAGGAGAGAAAGCTGGTGAAGCCTTGGCTAGCACTGCTGGGGTGGGGGTGGGGCAGAAAAATAGCTGCTCTCCTTCGTGACTAACGCAGCAGGTAGTCCTGCGGCCACCGTTTCCCGCTGGCTGCCCTCTCCCTTCCCCCTCACCATCCACCCGCGGGGCAGTTCCTTCTCCCATGTGAAGTCTGATCTCTGTGAGTGCTGAGTCGCAGAGTAGCTAGCTCTCCATGTGACTTCAGTTTCCGTCAGTTCCTTCCGCAAGTGCAAAAATAATCTGATGCTCCAGAGAGAGGAGGCCGCCCAACTCTCAAGGAGGCCGGAGCCCCGGGAGAGGATGCACCCGGAGGAGCCGCCTGGGCCTGCGGGAGCCGTGAGTATTTCCTGTGTGGTGGGCAGCCGCCACCCTTCTCGAGGTGGGCAAACGCGGGCTAGGTTGGGTGGTAGGTCAGTGTCCCTGGTCCAGGTGTGGGACTGTTCAGGAGGCTGTGGCTTGCTGTATTCAAGCTCCACCGCTTTTGTGCCCAGTGTAGCGGCTCCAGCTCTGGGTAGGCGGAAACAGGTCCCTCTAGGAGCACCCAGAGCTGAACAAGGTGGTATGGTATAGTGGAAACAAGGGCTTCGGATTCCTGGTTTGAGGGTTTGATTTCTGGCTTTGTGGGGAGGATTTCTGAGCCTCAGTTTCTTCATCTGCAAAATGGAAACAATCATGCTTCCTTCTGGTGTGGGTGAATGGATGCAATAAGACTACTGTGTGAGCACTCAGCATGCTTGATGCTTGAATCTTCTTTCCTGCCCTACAACTGAACTGAGAATCACCGTGTTCCAGATGAAGATGCTGATACTCATTGACAGCCACACATACTTACACATGTGTCCCATGTGCAGGCCCATTCAAGGTGTTGGGGACAGAGCCATGAAGAAGACAGGCAAAGCCCCTTCCCCACATAGTGTTCTTGGGAAATCTACTAGGGTTCTGTTACTTGGACCAACACCTAGGAAGTGTCAGAAGGAGACTAAGTCCCAGGCCTGTTTGATCCCCTGTTCAGTGAGTGCTCTTTTTCAGCCCTCATGGCCTCTCCATGTGGGCTGGATTCTGGAGGGTTCAGTATATATTCCCATGCTCTCAGGAGCTGACCTAAGTGAGGAGCCATTGACCAGGTTCCATACTGCCTGCTCTCAGAATGGGCTGCCAGCTCACTTGGTCCCTGAGAGAAGGTGACCACGTGCCCAGCAGTGGCTGGGTCTCAGGGAGGCCGAGGCAAGATCCTAAGGATGGACCTCCTGGATAGGGCTGGTCTCAAGTGCTGCACTTCCAGGAGAAGTGAGGGGACCCCAATGGAGGTTTCTTCTGTGATGGGTACAGGCTACTATGGGTTTGGACAGTAGAAATATTTTGTTTATAGAGTTGGTCTTCTGAGATCCCCTATGCTCCCTTCACCCAGGCTGTGCTGCACAGATTATTTCTGTGGATGTTTATGGGTTGCTGTATTTTATTGCCCTGAGACTTATTTATTCGCCTCACACACCCCACAGCTTTTTACACGTATGTCTGAGAGTTCCTAGAAGGAATTATAGAATCATGGGCCCAGGAAAAAAAAGTAGAGAAAGCTCAACTCCTGACTTTAAATTAAAAGAAAAAAACAACAACCAAAAAATGAAAACCTATTTCACAAAGAAGGTGCTTTCATCTAATGGGTGTTCTCATGGGAACCTCATGAAAACCCATATAGACCTGATCCCACATAGTGTTTCAACCCATCACCCAAGAGCAGGAGCCTCCCAAACAGATAGCAGGCTGCTGGTGTCTTTGTCCTGGGTCCCATGTTAGGGATATATGTCCCTGGTTTTTTGTTGTCAGGGAAGACGGACACCAGTACTGATTGTAACCTGTATTCTAGCTGCAGTGTATATCCATGCCACAAGGTGTAAACCAGACTCCTGGATGGACCAAATGCACCTCACACCGTACTCAGATCCACATTATAACCACATAAATTAGGGAAGGGGAGGATTTCAATCATGAATGAAAAACATTATCTTTCTCAGGACATGCTTGTTGCATGCTCAGTGATGCTCACTGATGTGTACACACATTAGTGACAAATATTTTTTGCCTTTAGTAAAATTTCTTTATTACACTCATGTCCCTACTCTCCCCAAACAATGTCACCATTGAACAAATTGTCATGGCTCAATGTGTGGAAAGCTCTGGACTATGTTAAATGACCATCTCTGAACCTCAGAGAATCAAGGGGAGAAAAAAAAAGGACATTGATACTTGTATTTTATCAAGCCTCACAAGTAACTGTAAGTCTGAGTTTAGGGTCTTTTAGTTGCCAATGACAAAAACCCAATTAGCTTGGCTGCAGAAAAAACCAAAACCAAAACAAAACCCTGGCTGGTGTGGCTCAGTTGGCTGGAGTGTCATCCCATAACTGAAGGGTTGCAGGTTCAATTCCCAGTCAGGGCACAGACCTAGGTTGCAGGTTCGGTCTCTGGTTCTGGCTCATACAATCCCTGGTTCGGGTGCATATAGGAAGCAACCATTCAATGTTCCTCTCTCACACTGATGTTTTTCTCTTTCTCTCTTCCTCCCTCTCTAAAAGCAAGGAAAAAATGTCCTTGTGTGAGGATTAAAAAGAATTAAAAAGCAGATTTTTTAAATCCTCACCCGAGGACATTCCTCCCTTGCTTTTAGAGAGAGAAGAAGGGAGAAAGAAACATTGATGTGAGAGAGAAGCATCGATTGGTTGCCTTCCATGTGCACCTGGACCAGGGATTTTCTGCACCTGGGCTAAACGTATGTGCCCAGACAGGGGACCGAACTCACAAACTAGGTATGTGCCCTGACCAGGAATCAAATCACAGCTCTTCAGTTATGGGATGATGCTCCAACCAAGTGAGCCACTCCACTCACGTAGATTGTTTCAAATAACCAAAAAGTCTATGGAAAATAGCTTGAGGTGTGGCTTGATCCAGGTGTTCAAACATTGCTAGGAACCCATCTATCTCCATGCCTCAGTATTGCTTTCTTCTGCATAGGCTTCATTATCAGGCAGACCCTAAAGTTTGTGGCCAAGATGGGTACCTGCAGCTTCAAGCTTAATTGTCACCAGTGTGGTATCTGAAGTAGGAAGAAACGCCTCTTCCTCAATAGTTCTAGCAGCAGTCCTTGGGTTGATTCTCATGGCTTCTGTGAACCCATTACAAACCAATCACTGTGGTTGGGGAAACAGGAGGTTCCAGTGGGCCCAGCCTTGTTGATAGCCCTTGGATCCAGGAGTTAAGGTCAAACTCAACCAAACATGTACTTCTTAAGGGTTGGTTGCATGACAATGTAAATTTGTACTTAACATTACTGCACCATACACTTAAAATGGTTAAGATGGTAAATGTTATGTTATGTCTATTTACCACAATTAAAAATTAAAATAATAAATAAAGAAAAGAAAGGAAGGGGTGGTTTCCTCAAAGGGGAATTAAGGAATTGTTATCAGAAAGAGAAATGAATGTGGGTAGGCAAAACCAACTGATCTCCAGAGCAAATGGAGTCAGGTGCTGAGGCTAAACCACATGTGTCTTCTCACTTTAATGCATGAGTGGTTTCAGACTGAACAAGGGAATAAAGGAGGAAGTAGAAACCTGTCATGGTTCTCACCAGCGAGATGGGCAAGAAGAACAGGGCTGGTACCCATAATGGGCTGAATATGGCTACAAAGCCCTGAGAACACAGGGACCCCCTACTTCCATGTTCAACCCAGAAGTTTGCTTTGGTCAGGTGCTGTGCCATGTACCCTAAGTAACTTTCTGTTGCCAAGGAAGAAAGAGAAGAATGGGGAGGGAGTTTCTGCTCAGGAGATGGCACTGGGGCTCTGTCTTTTCACCCTGGCTCTTCTCAAGCAGGGCCTACGTGGCTGAGGCAGCCCAGCATCCACACAGACAGCAGGGGCTCATCTTGGAGTACACATCATGTTCTCCAGTAACCTCATGTCACTCCATTTGAGATGTCAGGCTGGAAACTAGCTCCTCTCGATCCTCCCTACTGTCAGTCCTCTCCCAGTGCAGCCATGATCCCTCAGGTTTTTCCTCCCTTTCCAGTGTCTCTTCTTGGTGGTCCCACCAGACGCCAAGGCTGAGCTCTTTCCCTCAGCCTGCATGGTCAGTGGCAAGTGGGTCTTTCCCTGTGTAACCCTGGGCCACCTCCTTCAGCTTCAGATATGTTAATGGCCTCCCTGTCACTGCCCAGCCTGGTACCCTGAGATCTCCTCATGGGACTCCCCACAATGGCCTTTCTCTTGTTCTAGGTTCTTGCACCCTCCCTCAGGTCCCTAAACTGAAGCTTCCCAGTATTCTTAGCTTCATCTTAGCTAGTAATACTGACTTATTTTCTTCTAAACCCCCAGTTTTCCTAGGCTTTCTAACTTCTTTTGCAGAACCTCTAAAGGCCCTCATCTTTGTCATAGTTTCACTTCTTAGTGTTGACAGGTTGCTCTATCCCCACAGAAGACCATGGCCCCATGAACACTCAGGGGTGCTACTCAGAATATCAGACACCATATTGTACAGGCACTGACCAATCAGAATGGACATTTGCATTAACAGCAAGGTCCCAGAGGCCTCTGCTGAGTCGGGTGTTACCTCCTTGGTTGCTGGATCATGGTGGGGACCTTGGGGGTTTTAAAGGATGGCCAGGCAGCTAAGGTGGGGTATACCCATGAGGTAGCTATTTACCAATAAATATATACCTATGCAACCCAGCTGAATATTCATTAAACTTACATTCCTCTCAGACAGGTGCACATTGAACATCTCCTACCTGGGCCAAAAGTCAGATTTGGTTTTGACTTCACTGTCTATAAACTATGTGACCTGAGAAATTCACTTTGGCTTTTTCAAGTCTTGGGTTTTCTTATCTGTGTAATGGAGATAATAAGCAGGGACTAGAATATGGATACTTGTACAGTAATGTTTATAGCAGCTTTACTTACTGTGACCAAAAGGTAGAAACAACCCGGCTGTCCATTGACAGGTGAATACATAAATGAAATGTGGTATATTCCTATAATGGAATATTATCCAGCCGTAAAAAGGAATGAAATTCTGATATGTGCAATAACATGGAGTGGCCTTGAAAACATTATGCTAAATTAAATAAACCAGACACAAAAGGTCAGATCTTACATGATTCTACTTGCATGAGATACCTAGAATAGGCAAATGTATAGTAAAGAAAGAATAGTGGTTACCAGGGGCTGAAGAGAAGGAAGAGTGAATGGGCAGTTGTGTTTAATAGGCACAGAGTTTCAGTTTGGGGCAATGAAAAAGTGCTGGAGATGGACAATGGAGAGGTTGCACAACAATGTGAATGTA